CGGAGGGAGGGACAGTGATCATCCGTCTCTTTTGTTTTACTGGATCCACACGCAGACGCGCAAACCACCTCTGGAGGCATCTCATGTGTAACAAACCCAGCGGAACCACTGTGTGAGCTGATGACATCATTCCCAACAGCTTCATGACAGACAGCTGTTACCACTTTGCCAGGTCTTACGTGGCGGAGTTGACTTTTTAAAGTGTCAATTCTCGTTTGTGATAAACGAGCCTTCATGGTGGTTGAATTTAATTCCACTCCCAGATAAACAATTGTCTGGGCCGGGAAAATCGAGCTTTTCTTCCAATTTATGGCGAAGCCCAGATTTAACAGGTGTGATGTCAGCACCTGAGCCTGCATCAGCGCCTCCTGTCTGGAGTGTGACAGGAGCAGCAGGTCGTCCAGGTAAAACAAAATTCTCATCCCTGCTCTGTGCAGTGGATGCAGGGCTGTCTCCACACACTTTGAGAACGTACGAGGCGCGAGGGAATACCCGAAAGGCAGCCTGTTGTACTGATACTTCATCCCCTGAAAGGCGAAACGCAGAAATTTCCTGTGTTTTGGGATGATCGGTATGTGAAAATAAGCATCTTTTAGATCCATGGAAACAAACCAGTCATTTCTCTGGATGTTGTCTAACAGCTGTCTGGTTGTCAGCATGTGAAATGGGTCTGTCCATGATCGCTTTGTTGAAAGCTGACAGATCCAGAATCGGTCTCATCCCTCCGGTCCGTTTGGGAACCAGGAAGTAGCGTGAGTAAAAACCTGTGTTTTCCTCTCCGTTGGGGACTCTGGAGATTACGCCTTTTATCAGAAGCTCTTGAACTTCTGCATTTATTATGAGATTTGGTCTGGTGATGACAGGACCGTCTCTATAACTCCTCCGAACGGAGGGGGTCGGGTTGCAAATTGTAGCGTGTAACCCTTGCATAACACTCTGTCCATCCATCTGTCCGGCGAGCATGTTTTTAGCCACTCTGCGTAACGTTCGTGGAGTGGACGTGCGTTAAAGTGATGCGCCGTGTTTTGAACGGATGTCATCCAATCCGCCACCTCGACCGCCGTCATGCGTCGCGGAAATGTTTTCCGCGTGACCCAAGACGAGGCTTCCTCGAAAGGGCTGTTCTGAATGCGCCCGTGCGCTGCGTCTGGATCGCGGACCAACCTTCATGTCTGGGTGGGCCGGTGTGTGCTGAGGCAAAGCGTGTGCCAGCTGATGACGCCGTGGGGCTGCACGTTTAACGTCGCTGTGCGAACGTCGAGAGGCGGAGGGCGTGACTTCATCAACGCCGTGCTGTCGGAGTGAAGGTTGCGAGCCCCGCGGGAGCACACCTTTTCTCTGGAGGGACGCGCGACCCTCTCGCTGGGGGCGGGGCTCGTCACCGGGTTCGTTCAGCTGTCTCACGCTTATGCCGCCGTGAGCTGCCGATCGCTGAGACGCGGTGGATGACGGCCGCTCGCGTTTGCTCAGGTGAGGCGTGTGTTGTTTTCGCTGAGAGCTGGGACCTCCACCGGACCCGGCCTGCGGTCCCACATTTATACCGATGTGAGCCGGTGAGCGCCGGGCAGCTGTGCGTGCATCATCAACACAGCGCCGTTTGGATGGAGGCTGCTTGCCTCGCTCGGGTGCGCGTTTAACACCGCTTGGGTGATGATCGTGCGGGTCTGATTGATAACGAGTTATTTCGCTTACCGTAGTGTCGAGTGAGCGTCTCGTCATATGTTAGAGCGGCAGTGAGTTTAAAAAACTTTATTTAAGGACACCGGCTCTTTAAGTGTGGAGGATGTGTGCGCAGCGGCTGTGAGCTCATCCGAGCTTACAGACTGGCTAAAAACAGACACTTTGATCATTGAAAAATCATTTATTTCGACTTCTGTGTCATTTATACACACATCCTCCGCAGACCGTCATTTTTTAAATCTTCTCCCCTGTGAGCTCTGCGATTTGTTTGCCCTGAGCGCCGTCTGCAGGCGATCTCTGGGGAAACGCTGAAGTGCAGGTTGCCGGAATGAGGAGGGGTAGTCTCTGACGGGCGGGGCTGGTGGTGGAGCTGAGCGAGACGAAGCTGCTGCGGCCGTGGAGCGCCGATGTTTCTGCCTCTGCTCGCGACGATCTCTCCAGCGGGCCGGGGGACGGGATGAGCCGCGCGGCTTGATGAGATGGCGCACAGCTTCCGACACCTCCTCCGACTGCTTCGAATTCGCCAGCATGGTTTTTAAGCTGCTTCCGAACAGCGCGTCCGACGTGATGGGGCCCTCCATCAGGTCCTTGTGCAGCTTTTCCGGCAGCGAGGGAGAGTGACGAAGCCAGGTGGATCGTTGGATCAACGTCATCCACGCTGCAATCCTCGACAGGCAAACCGTAGAAGCGGCGCACATGTTGAGGATGGCGTCTGCCGTCTTACAGAGGGAGCTCTTTGTCTCCTCGGGCAGGTTCGCGGCCTCCAGCCTCTTCGACATGCTAAATGCTAGCAGCGCCACGTTGTTGCTAGCTGCGGCCGCCTGAAAAGCACACTGGTGGGCTCGATTGGAGAGCGCGGTCACCACCTGGTCGTGTTTCCACGGAGGGACGGGACGCTGCTCCAACCTGGACAGCTTCGCTCCGAAGGCTTCCGCGAGGCTTGGCTCAAGGGGGGGTACCGAGGGATAGCCCCGCTCGGTGAACCCCTCCACTCCGGTGATGGGAGCGTAAGTGGAGACGGGCGCCCTCAACCTACCAGGACCGGCTGCGGCCTCGTTCCAGTACGATATCACCGCTGGAAAACGAGGCCAGATGGGATCAAGACGGCGAGCCGGTGTGGAGCCAAACCTTCCCGCAAGATCATCCGATCTGAGCGGGGGGGGGGGGGGGGGGACCTGAGAGCCCCTTTACGTTAGCAGCTTCCCGGATAATGGCGGGCAGCTCCGAGAGGAGTGCGCCGACGGCAGGGAGCGGTGTGGCCGTTGAGACGGGAAACCCCGGAGGAGTCGAGCATCCACTCGGCCTCCCTCTTTCAAACACTGCGCTCCCCAGGAGGGAACGAGCGTCGGGGCTGCTGCTAACGTCACCGGTCCCAGAGGAATCATCCGATTCACTCCGAGAGCCGGCGTCAAAGAAATCCATGGCGTCGTCCAGCGAACAGTCTCCCGCCACGGACAGGCAGTCCTCGATGGTAGCCTTAAACAAGGCTGCTCTCCTCTGCCTTTCCTCTGGTGGAAGCTCGTCACAGAGGCGGCAGGAGGAAGCGCGGGCGACGTGGCGGGGACCCAGGCATCCCTCGCAGGTGTTGTGCCGGTCGAAGCTGAGCAAGTAACCGGTCTTGCAGGAAGGACACAAGCGGATGGTGTTGGAGCTGGACATCTCTTTGAAGGTCAGTTGTTTTTTATTAGCTTGCTGAAGAAAAATGGGAGCCGATTACCCGCTCTTAATGTAACTTATACGGATCGGGTGGGGCCCACACAGCAGGTGGGCGTGGACTAATTTTTTCAGTATGATGCTTGCGCATAACGGGATAAACCCATCAGCGACAGCCTTAAAGGGCGAAGCCTATACGACATAGAACAGCACAAACACCCTGCTGGCAACCAGCCAGACAGAGTCCAACCTTCTACCCATCATCCTATTCCTGTCAAGTTTTCCTGAAATAAGTCATCACTATCATTTAGCATTTTATCAGCAACACTTACAGTTTTTCTTCATGCACCAAATTTCACAAGTTATTGATAAGTATTATACATCACTCTAAGATGTATAATAATACTATAAAATACATTACGGCAAAGACTGGTTCATCCCAATGATCCAGTCCCCCGACACAAACAGATTAATATTGTGTATGCTGTTCAGTGTCAGGAGGGCTGTGATCAGTCTTACATTGGGGAAACTAAACAGCCACTGGCCAAAAGGATGGCCCAGCACAGAAGATCAACATCATCAGGCCAGGACTCTGCGGTCTACACTCATCTCCATGCCAGCGGTCACTCTTTCAGGGATGAAGATGTTCACATCCTGGACAGAGAGAAACGATGGTTTGAGAGGAGTAAAGGAAGCCATCTTTGTGAAAAGAAATTGTCCATCATTAAACAGGGGTGGAGGCCTCCGGGTTCAACTGTCCCCCTCTTACAATGCTGTGATTGCTAGTATAACTCAACCCCCTGTGAATAGTAAACAGCCATCAGTGTGCTAATGATCCATTGTTATGCTGATGGTCCTTCTTGACCATGTGAGCAGCTGGTTTTGGTTGTCAGCAGCAAACTGGTTGATCCACTCTGAGAAGGTGCTATTTAAGAGACTGAGCTGAATACAGCACCTCAGACTAAGGAAGTCTTTCGGATGAGAGATGAAACGTTTCTACATTTTTTTATTTTTATTTTTTAAATGTCCAGAGGACCAGATTGAACTTTTTGGGATTTTTCTACCTGGATTATTGAGCATGCATCAGGATGTAAAGTTGTGTTTGTACAAGTTGTTTTAGTACAACTAAATTAAATTTACAAAGTTATTTTAGGTGTGCAATACTTAAATCAAACAATTTTACTTCACTTATTTTTTTTTATGTTGGAAACATTGTTTTAGCATAGATTTTTAAGTAAACCAAACTCATTCTCCTTAAATTACAGGAACTCAAAGCTAAGTTATGTGCACTATTTTATGTTATTACAACATACTCAAAATTGTCATGTTAGTTGAGTTGTACAAACTTAAGATGTACAACTTGCACAAACTTAACATTTTGAAATTTCAAATAATTGAAAATTTTGAGACAACGAGTTTGCATAAATTTTTCAAATAACGTCCACGTATTGCGTCTTACAGTGCATGATTTAGAAGGAATATGATGAAGTACCTCATTAGACCAGGGCAGCATAATTTAATTTAATCTAATGGGTTTGAGACAGAAGACCAAACTGGAAGCTAAATTCTCTCAGCAGAGATAAATATTTGCATTTGTGGGCAGATGTAACAGCCAACTTGTTGTTTCTGACTGTTCTGAATTTGTTTTCTTGTTTGTTTTGTTGCAGATCAAACTGAAGTTGTGGGTCTGTGTGGTCTTCACCTGGATTATGAAATAACTGAAGACAAAGAGAGCAAGAGGAAGAAATATCCTTGGTTTGCCTCAATTATTAACGTGGTAAAATATATAAATACATTCAATTCAACTCATATTTTTACATGAGCTCATGAGCCTTGAATGCATCTTACATTTTTGTTTAATCTGTATGCATGTGGATTTGATGTACACTGTAGTCATTAAATCAAAAATTTTATTACATTGTCAGATTTTGTGGTACTACTTATTACAAAATCTGACATGAAAAAGTTCTCCTGAACTAAATTAAATTCTGCATTTTAAAGGGGTTTACTCCAGTAGTTTTCCACATATGCAACATTCTGAAAAGTGAGTCCACACTGTGTAAACAAAGCATTACCTGGAAGCTCGAGTCACATGACTGACCTACAACAGGCTGGCTGCAGTCTGCAGGTGAACAAATATGGTTGAGTCAGACAAGCATAGATTCCTGGAGAAGACATTCAGGTGGGAATAGAAATGTGAATCTGCTGCTAAACATGAGAGAAAAGAGATAGATCGAGTCAGACAACGATCAATGATAAAGTCAAAATATTAGAAATCAACAAGGGAGGTGGAACACAACATTTAAACACAAACAGCTTCTGCAAAACTTCATCTAGACCTGCTACAGTTTCCTGTTTCAACCCGACTGATCATTTTATCTGCATTCTTTACTCAAAAAATTAGGTGTAAATATGTACCAATATATATAAATTGTCGGACATCTTGAGCCCACCCGAATCTTCCTCAGACGTCACCAAGGTTGACACACTTTCAGTCATGTCCGCTGTTTTTGTAGGTCAAACAAACATGGTACAATTTTTTTTATTGAAGTACACATTGTTATAAGAAAAATATGATTGAATATTTGAACATGAACATTTTTATCCTTCAGCATACTTTAATCTTTAGTGAGTATTTTTGGACAGAAATGTTTTATGTTTCATCGAGCTAAACTGTACAGATACTGAGGTAAAGACTCATACTGGCAGTATTCTTTTTTTTTACTTTAGGGACAACATCCAAAGACGTGCATCGGCTCTCTGGTGTCACCTGACTTTGTCCTGACTGCTGCTCACTGTTTCTCACCTAAAGATGAACCTAAGGATATCATTGTTGAGATTGAAGAAGAAAATAATGCTAAAAGAGGTAAGGATGAATGTCTGACTTCTCTTCATTCACCTGAACGTGACACACTGCTGTTTGTTACCACACAGACATCCACTCTTTAATTTAGGTAAAGAAAAAACATTCAAAAGCAAAGGTTTAAGGTTCTGAACAGTAAATATCTAACCGGTAGCTCAGTGAAGTGTTTGGAGAATTAGATCAGTTTTGATCAGATTGAAGGTTGTTTGGGTACTCAGCTCAGGTGTGTTGGTCACAGTTGGGTACGAGTTCTGTAAAAGAAGAGAAACAAAACCCAGTTTCTTTTAAAAAAATAAATAAATAAATAACTCAGCTGGAAGACTGGAAAATAAAAGCATGATCAACTTCGCTATCCATCCATCCCTCCATCCATTCCTCCCCCCCCCCCCCCTCGATTTCCTCATCAGGTCACGGGGGTCACTGGTGCCCATGTCCATCCATCACTGGGAGAGAGGTAGGGGACACAGGTTTCCAGTTCATCACAGAGACAAATTAGACAAACAACCATTCACTTTCTCACTCACACCTAGGGACAATTTAGTTACCAATCAGCCTAACATGCATGGTTTTAGTCTGTGGGAGGAAACCGGAGTACCCGAGGAAAACCCATGCATGCATGCATGCATGCATGGAGAGAACATGCAAACTCCACCCAGAAAGGGCTCCGGCTGAGATTAGAACTGGAGCAATCTAACTTTACTGTAAAATAAAATAGACAATGTAGTTTCTAATATTCTAAGTAACTATAGTAACACATAGTACTATGTGTTGTCATCATTGTATGGGAACATACAATGATGAAATTAGTTATCTGCATTTAACCCATCCCACGTGAGATACTCCCAGGTGGAGCAGTGGACAGCTATGCAAGTGCCCAGGGAGCAAGTAGAAATTAGGTGTCTTGCTCAAGAATACCACAACATGCGGGCATGGCGGGGAGTTGAACCTGCGACTATCTAGCCCAAGTCAAGTGCTTTACCTCTACGCTATCCAATCTGAACTGTAAACAGGTTGAACCGAAAGTTTGAAAAAAACTCCAGAAATGTATTTCTCTAGAGGATTAATCTCAAATAAAACACAGAACTGATTCAATTCAATTTAGTTTATTTATATAATGCCAAATCACAACAGAAGTCATCTCAGGGCACTGAACAGAAACATTATATAAAAACCAGAATAAACTTTATTGGCATTGCACAGAGATACAACGCGAACATGTACGTACAGTCGTCCGAAAGATGGGCGGAGTGCACAAAGCTGCAACTATAGAAAGCGCGGCCCTCTTATTCAGAGTATTTTGCTTAGATGAGAAATGGGAAAAAAAAAAAAACACACCACAGCAAAGCAACATAAATAGACGTTATAAATGTATATATAGGCCGGTGAAAACATTGAATTTTTAAGGGAAAAAGTCGTAGCATAGTCCAGAGCCCCACTCTCAGCCATTGTCCAGATAAGAGGCGTCATTCATCATCAGCTCAGTTGAGGCTCTGTTACATGTCCACAGCCTTGGGGAAGGGAGGGGTGAGGAAACAGTCAAAGCATCTTTGTCGTTTTCAAAACATGTCAGGAGTCGAGATAAGTCCGCCGTCAAGCCCACAGTTTGGGTCAGGCAGAACTCGTAAATTGTTGTTTCTGCCTTTTAAAGTCTCGCTGGTATGTATTCCTCTGATGGAACTCCAAAACAGCTGAATTGATCCTTTACACCAAAAGTCAAGCTCACAGCTTCTCCAAGATTGTTTCCCCTTCATGTGTTCTGCTATAGAGTCTGCAGTCCTGATAACAGCTGCTCCAGCTCCCTGCTGCAGCTCCACAAATTCAGTCTGAGCACTGTCGAGATTCGACACATCCACACGAATTTATAGACAACCCAGAATTCACCAACCAAACCGCAAAATAACCAGTTGTCATCATGAATCCAATTTGTTTCCATCGAGGTAAGAGGGTCCTCCTTATGCCCTGACTCCTGTCGGGAGAAGTTGATCAATTTTGTTGAGAGACCAGCTGATGCTTCGAATTAAGAGGTATGCAGAAAAAAAAAAGTATTTTTAAGGGTTTACCGGATAAAAGAATGCAGCAGGGAAGTGGGTGGGGTGGGAAGACACGTCTGGTTTCACCGGAGGATAGAGGGAAAAAAAAACAAAACAATAATAATTAACACTATCTGGAGGAGCAGACTGCTTTGAGTTAAACTCCGTCGCAGAATTCTTATATTGAGCAAGCATGAAGGCGACAGTGGAAAGGAAAAACTTCCTCATGAGGAAGAAACCTTTAGCAAAACCAGGCTCAGGACAAGCAGCCATCTGCTTTGACCAGCTAGGTTTGAGAGGAACAGATACACAATGGCAGGTCATGTTAAGACAGAAATAGTATTAAATGAAAAACTAATTTTAACAGATCATTTAAGGAAAATAAGTATTTTTGTCAATTACAACACAGTGCTACAGCGATTGATAATATTTTTACTAATGTAAGAGATGCTGAGGTGATGAGTGAGATATTTATGATTGATATAAGTGATCATTTGCCAGTTTTTGCAATTTGTAAAAATTACCAGTGCAGTATTTATAAAAAAAAAAAATTAAAAAAAAAAGTAGCTACAGTGAAGAGGAAAATGATAAATGCATATAAAAAAAAAAAAAAAAAAAAAAAAAAAAAAAAAGCTTTGGATAAATTGAAAGATAATTTGAAAAACAAAATTGGAAGGATGTGTATGTTGATGATGTAAACAGAGCCTATGATGTGTTTATGAATATCTTGGTAACTCTGTACAAAAAGAATTGTACGCAAAAAAACTGTTTAGAGAAATGTTGACAAACCATGGATGACGAAAGGGTTAAGAAATGCTTGTAAAAAAAAAAAAAAAAAAATTACTTGTACTCCAGAAAATGTGAATATAGCAAAGATAGTTCCTCTTTATAAGAATGGTGAGAAATGTGTGTTCACTAATTACAGACTAATATCCTTGTCACCATTTTCAAATATATTAGAGAAATTTGTAACCAGATTAGATCAATTAATAAACTGAAATTTATTCATTCACCCTTTATTTAGACAGGTTAATCCAATTGAGCCTCAGGGACTCATTTACAAGAGAGAACTGATTTAACAAAAGTAAATATTTTAGTAATAGTCAAGATGGGTTTAGAGCAAATAATTCGGCATCAATGGCTCTCATGGAACTAATAGAAGAGATAAATGCTGTTGATCAAACGCAGTATTGTGTTTGTTTTTGTTGATTAAAAAAAAAAAAAAAAAAAAGGCCTTTGACCACACCATTCTCTTTGAAAAACTGAATAAATATGGCAAAGGATTAGCACTGCAGTGGGTACATCTACTGTAGTGTTAAAGTGTCCAAATCTAGTTATAAATGGGCTGCACTTGTGTATTGCTTTTCTATCTGATCAAGATTCTCAAAGCACATTACGTCACAATCTGTGCCCTCAACCCGTTCATACAGCACTCTATATCTATACAAAGAACAATCAGTGCTTTATCACATACATACACTGATGTGACACACAGAGGCATTTAGGGGTTCAGTGTCTTGCCCAGGGACACTTTGGCATGTGACTGCTGGTGGAATCGAACCCCCCCAACTTTTGTATTGAGGACGACTGCTCTAACCACTTAGCTACAGCCACCCCAGTTATTTGAATAGTAGGAGACAGTTTGTACAAGTAAATGTAAGATCAAAATTTTGTGTTAATGGATGTGGAGTTCCTCAGGGCTCTGTGTTGGGACCAAAGTTATTTTATACTGTATGCGAATGATTTGGTCGATGTGTCGGGTCTTTAAATGCATTTTGTGCAGATACATTTTGTGTTTGGGTAAAGATATTGAACAGTTAGATGATACTGCCAGAATTTGTAAAAATAACTTGGTTCCAACTTAAGTTATTAAATTTGGAAAATACTGCATATTTAGTAATAGACAATTAATCGAAGTCCCATTTAAAATTGATAGTATTGAAATTCATAGAGTTAATGCAATAAAATTTTGGGGTGTTATTGATAAGGTGACATGGTAATCTCATGTAAATTAAGAATAAAAATAGCTAAATCAATTGCATTACTGTATAAAGTAAGTTTTCGAATGACAAAGCTTTGTATAATCATTGCTCCATATTTAATCTATTGTATTGAAGTTTGGAGAAAACAATTACAAATCCCATTTTATATTAAAAAGAGCTGCAAGTATTAGTAGGAAGTGCTATGGTCAAAAAAATATTTCATCAGTTCAAATTATTAAAAAATAGACAAGAACCAGATTTAGGGATTCAAATCTGATCAGACAACAGGAAGGTATAAAAGATTTGATAAACAGTTTCTGGTGGAGGTCTGAGTCCTTGGGCCAGCACAATCTGAAGAGACAGGAAAGTTAGTGAATTGGAGTTCAATAGCTTTGGTTTGATTGTTCAGTTTATAAAAACACCAGTTTATAAACACCAACCTTCGTAAACAGGTGAGGGAGAATTTCCTTAGAGTTGGATTGTGTGATGTCACTGTTGGAGAAGGTGAGCTGGTTTTGGAGGCAGAGCTGAGCTTGAAGCAGTTAGGAGGAAGATCCAAAAGACAGGTCCAGGGAGACAGGCAAGGGTCATGCACAGATGATCAGAAATCCGAAACCAGACTTGAATCATGATCCGGTAGACTTGGTCGTTGTAGAGAAGGCAGAGATCGTTAACATGAGCAGAGTAGATAATCCAAAGCAAGCAGGGGATGGTCAAAATGGGTAATCCGTAAGACAGGAATGCAGTCAGAACCAGGAAGACAAACAAAACTGTGGCATGGATGCTGGACATTTACTCACTGTGAGGCTTTCAATAATCTGGCAATGAGCAGTGTGGCTGTGGGGTTTAAATACAGGTGACAACAGGTGAGCTGCATGAGGGCTGATTGCGGTGACTCAGCAGACTGGGTGTGGTTACATGAGCAGACTGAGGTGCAGGTTGACAGGAGCTGAGATGAAACAAACATGAACAGGAACTATGGCAGGCAGAG